AACACTGTTTTAATTATTATAAGTGTTGCTATCTGGCAGTTTAAAGCCTTCCAGTTTTGCCATTCTTCTCTAAGTCTGCACTAGCTCTTTTGGCCCTTTTTATTTCCATGTAAATTTTAGATTCAGCTTGTCAGTTTCCATACACCCAGATACACACACACCCTCTGCTGGGACTTTGGAACTAACAGAAGTTCCTCAGACTGAGGAGAACTGAATTTTCCAGTGTTTTTTGAATCCTCGAATATAGTATACACCCTTACTTACTTAGATTAGTGGCTCTCGAGCTGTGGTCCTTTCACCAGCAACTGCAGAACCTCGGCACAGCACCTAGGACTACAAATTCTTGGGCCCTACCTCAGATCTGCTGAATCAAAAGCATTAAGGGCCTCAGGTCTGTGCATTAACATACACTCTGGGAAATACTGATGCACTAACGTTAGATAGGCATTGATTTGGTTCTTCAACTTTCCTCAAGAATGTCTTAGAGTGTCAAGTCTGAGATTTTATGCAGTTGTCATTATATGTCTTCTTAGGTATTTGATGGTTTTGGGTTTTTTTTTAAGATTTTATTTATTTATCTGACAGAGAGAGACACAGCTAGAGAGGGAACACAAGCAGGGGGAGTGGGAGAGGGAGAAGCAGGCTCCCGGCCGAGCAAGGAGCCCGATGCGGGGCTCAATCCCAGGACCCTGAGATCATGACCTGAGCTGAAGGCAGTCGCTTAACGACTGAGCCACCCAGGCGCCCCAGTATTTGATGTTTTTTGAAGCTAATATAAATGTTGTCACTTTAAAAAAATTTTTTTTAAATTTTTAGTTGTTTTTTTTAAGTAAACTCTACACCCAACGTGGGGCTCAAACTCACGACCCAGAGATCAAGAGTTGCATGCTCCATCAACTGAATCAGCAGGCACCCCTAAATGGTGTCACTCTAAAATTTTTCTAATTGCTGCTGGTATACAGAAATATAAAGTACACTGATCTTGTAATAAGTAAATTCAACCAATTTGCTGTGTGATCCGGACAGTTTATTTGTAGATTGTTTTCAATTTTCTACATACACAGTGGTGTCTGTAAATGAGAGATTTATATTTCCTCCTTTCCATTCCTTTTGTGACCCATTCATTTTTGTCATTTGCCTTATCGTACCGGCTGGGTTCTCAAGTCAGCTGAATAGAAACGGCATCTTTGTCTTGGTCCCAGTATCAGAGAGAAAGCTTTCAATATTTCTCCATCAAGTATAATGTTTGCCACAGGGTTTTTTTTTTAAAGTTTTATTGTTTATTTATTTTTAAGTAAAGTCTACCCCCAAACTGGGGCTCGAACTCACAACCCTGAGATCAAGAGTCCCACACTCCATCAACTGAACCAGTCAGGCGCCCCTGTTGTAGATTTTTTTTAAAAAATTATTTTTATCAGATTAAGAAAATTTTCTTCTATTCCTAGTTTGCTGAGTAGCTGAGTATGTTGGTTTTAACATAATGAATGGGATTTGAATTTTGTCAAATCATTTTCTTTATGTATTAGAGTGATCCTCAGCTGGGGGTGACGTTGCTCTTCACAGGGCATTTGGCAATGTCTGGAGTCACTTTTGGTTGTCGCAACTGGGTGGGTGTCACCGGCATTTAGCGGGTGGAGCGATCTATAGCCTACAGCACACGGGACAGCTCCCCACAGAAAGAACGATCTGGCTGAGAAGGCTGAGGAGGCATGATTATATACTTCTCTTTTCTTCTGTTAATGAACTGAATTACAATGATTGATTTTCAAACATGAAACCAACCTTGCATCCTTGGAACAAATCCAATCTGGTCGTGATGTTATCTTTTTTATAATCGCTGAATTTGATTTGCTAATATTTTGTTTGGAATTTCTGCATCTGTATTCACAAGATCGATTGGCTTGTCGTTTTCCTTTCTTTGTGATCAGGTTTTGTATACCCTTCTTTTTAAAATGTCAACTTTGAAACAATATGCCCTAAGATTTTAATTTTAGTTCCTAGCTTATCTTTTCGGTCCACCTTTCCTGAGATTTTTGTGGGGGTGGGGGGTGGGGGAGAGGAAAGACTAAATTTAAGAATACTTTTTCTCCAGCTGAAATTAGAGCAGGTTCATATTAACTAGGTCTGTGTAATTCGATCAGTCTGCATACCTAGCAGTGGATAGTCCCTGAGAGCTTCAATATTCTAAGAACAAGGTCAGTGTCAGGGGCATTAGAAGAGGGGCAGGGTACCATGAGGGAAAATGGACATAAAGTGTTCCTGACTGAGTACTTTCTATTGAGTGCTGGACCAAGGGAAAGAGAAATGGGTTTTTAAAAACCCAGTACAGGGATGCCTGGGTGGCTCAGTCAGTTAGGCATCTGCCTTTGGCTCAGGTCATGATCCCAGGGTTCTGGGATCGAGTCCCACATTAGGCTCCTTGCTCAGCGGGGAGCCTGCTTATCCCTTTGCCACTCCCTCTGCTTGTGCTCTCTCTCTGTCTCTGACAAATAAATAAAATCTTTTAAAAAAATAAAAATAAAAAACCCAGTACCATCATCTACAGAACATGTGACTAAGGAATTTACACTTTATTCTGAGAATTCCAGTATCTGGCCCTACCTACTTTTCAAATTTCATCTCCTACTACTCTCCCCTTTATACTCTATTCCAGGGGTGGTTACTTTTTCTGTAAGGGCAGGGAGTAAATATTTTGGGCTTTGCAAGCTTTATGGTGACAACTACTCAACTCTGTCCATGTAGTGTGAAAGTTATAGACAGTGTGTTAATGAACAAGCCTAGCTTTGTTACAATAAATCTTTATTTACAAAATCAGATGGGGGGCCAGAGTTGACCTACAGGCTGTGGTCTTCCAACTCTTGCTCTATGCTCTAATCACATCAAACCACCTGCCATCTCCTGTGCCTTTTCATGTCAGCAGTGCCTGTCTCTGCATGGCCACATCTGACCTATCCTTCGTGGTCACCACACCTCCAATGTCACCACCCCTCCAGCCGACTCCATAGCATCTATTGAATCAGACATTCAAATATTTGAGCATCTACTAAGCATCAGGCAATGTAAATATAACAGTGTAAATAATGTTCTTGCTGTCTACTTGACCATCTAATGAGGGCTTTAGGTAAGAAAAGAAGTAGTTACTTCAGAGTCTGGAAATGGCTCCAATGAAGTGACCACAGGGTATTAAGGAAATGGGTGTCAATCCACACTTTTGGGGAAGGGGTCTGATCTGGAACACTTGGGCGAGGAAATGATATCTGCCAATAATCTGAAAGAAGTGGGTGAGAGTCAAACACAAAGGGACACGGGGTAGGTAAATCTGTGTTTGAGAGATCATGTTGCCTATCATGTAGGAAATATCGAATGTGGGGAGCAATCTGGATGAGACTTCAAGGTCACCTAAACCAGAGCAGGGGTGATGGGAAGAGAGAGAAGGAGGTGGGATTTCAGAGAGATTTAAAATGTAGAATCAGCTCCTCATTTAAATTCTCAACTACAGTTGTTCATCATCCAGCTTTCCAGCTCTACTAGACTTCACATTTAAAAAGGAGCCTCATATAGCCGATGCCCCCTCCCCCAGACCACCCCAGAGCTTACAGGCGGTCTTGTCATGGGACCAAAATGTCAGCTGCCTCTTCACACGTCTGTCTGCTTTGTCCCTCTGGCAACCAGAACAGGAAAGCTTCATACGAAATCCAGCGACACCATTCATATTGTGATTTTTCTAGTTTCTTGAAGACTGGTGGGATCATCTGGAGGGTCACCATGGATGGTGTAGGGCATTCCTGCCTCATCTGTTCTCTACACACCTTATTCTTGCTAGACCAGCCTGCCCCCCATCCGTTCAGCACACACGCTCCTAACTCTCCTGCTTTCCCAGACTCACCCGAAGACATTTCAAATGTTTCTCCTATCCATGCAGAGTAGTTTAGCTCAGTGATTCAATGGAAAAAAACTTGCAAGTCTAAAAATCATTAGGGCTCTTAGCATAACAAAGGTCCCTGTAGTTAATAATTACAACCATCACGGATGTTGTTAGGAGACGTGATGATGATAACAACCATAACCAAACAAAATGTCTAAGGAAATAAATTAATGCTCTCTTCCCTCTTCCTCTTACTTTGCCTTCCCCAACTCAGTGTTTCAATAGGGCTATGCACAAGATTTTTAGATAATCTATTTTGGTTAGGTGTACAGACAGCAGAATTAAATGGGCAACTGGCCTGCAACACACCTTCAGCTTAAGACACATGCCAACTTCCCACACTGAGTGAGGGGCAGAAACTATGAACAGTGTATATAAGCCCCACAGATCTAATCCAACCTCTGAGCAAGAAATCCCAACGTAAGATGGCATTTGGAAAATGGGCTTAGAAAGGGCAGCTCCTACACAACCATTCTGTGTTCTTGGGCAGGCTGTAGGACCCATAGGCTGAAAGACACAACACACAGATCAGTCAGCCCCGCTCCATCACTGGAAGATGTGAACGCTGGGCTCAGGGCCAGTGAAATGACCCCCAGGGTCATATGACTACTCAGTAGAGTGGCCAAGACTACGACTAGTCTGTTCTTGCTTTTTTGTTTTATCAGATTCATTTCTGTTTCTAATCACATACTTATTCAAGATCAGAGGCCTGGGTCCTGGAAGACTCAGATTCTTGCAGCCCCAACCCATCTGAGGTCTCTCCCTGGAGTTAGAGGCCGGAGCACATACAGGCCGTGAGGCTGGCGTGTATCTACACGCACTGGGTCTGTGCTCTGCCTGGCCTGGAGTGCTGACCTAAGGGGCAGAGCCAAAAAGAGCTGTGGGCTCCGTCTGCTGCCTAATTCCCCAAACAAGAAGCTGCCCTCCACATGAACCCCCCTCTGCCTACACCTGGGAGAGGAATGAAGGCAGAAACCAAGAAAAGCCGCAGTGCCAAGGGCAAGGGAGCAGGGTATTCAGGGCCAGAAAAGGGGTGCGTGCCCTTGTGCGAGAGGGTTCCTACCTACTCCTCCAGTTCCCCGGAGATGCTGGTGCTGCAGCCTCCTCAGACAAGAGGAAGACAAGAGGAAGGCAAGAGGAAGGCAAGAGGAAGGCACGGGCCTTGGTGAAGAGGCAGAGCATGAAAAGCAGGAGACTGAGAATAGGCAAGTCGATAGAGCCAGAAAGTAGGTGAGTGTTTGCTCAGCGCTGAGGGAGTTGGGGGAAATAGGGAATGACTGCTACTGGGTGCAGGGGTTTCTCTGGGGGTGGAGAATATGTTCTAAATGTGATTGTGATGATGGTTGCCAAACTCTGGGAATCTACTAGAAACCACCAACGGGCATACTTTAAACGGGTGAACTGTCTGGTATGTGCATGATACCTCAATAGAGCGGTCAGAGAGTGAAAACAACAACAAGGAAGGCAGGGGCCTCGTGGCCCCCGTGGAGGAGGGAGGGAGCCCTGGCAGCGGTGGTCCCTGCTTTGCCGATGGGCCTTTTGGAAGCGGCATTTGCTAACTTAGTCCCAAAGAACTAAGTAGATAGGAAATGAAGAAGGGAATTGAAGAATTGTGTTAGTATTTGGAAGGAAATAGGCTGACAGCCAAAAAATTTTTTTAAATTCCCTTTTAAAAAAAAAAAGATTTTATTTATTTATTTGACAGAGAGAGACAAAGCGAGAGAAGGAACACAAGCAGGGGGGGTGGGGGAGGGAGAAGCCGGCCCCCTGCTGAGCAGGGAGCCTAATGCGGTGCTCAATCCCAGGACCCCAGGATCACGACCCAAGCCGAAGCCAGACGCCAACGACTGAGCTACCCAGGCGCCCCTTAAATTCCCTTTCTATGAGTGGTGTTTTTAATGTACCAATTTGGGCTATCAATCTCCAGATCTATAAGAACTCTCTAGAAAACCATACCTCCCCCCCCATTCTACCCCGCATGCTGACTTCAGGTAATGTCTGTAAGTCTCCAAGGGAAACACCATTTTGTTTAAGAATGTGAGAGTACTGGGATGCCTGGGTAGCTCAGTCGGTTAAGCAGCTGCCTTTGGCTCAGGTCATGATCCCAGGGTCCTGGGATCGAGTCCCACATAGGGCTCCCTGCTTGGTGGGGAGCCTGCTTCTCCCTCTGCCTGCCTCTCCCCCTGCTTGTGTTCTGTCTCTCTGACAAATAAATAAATAAAATCTTTAAAAAAAAAAAAAGAATGAGAGTACATATATTTCTACCCTAATATGTACATTATAATTGTGAAGAAATAATTTCTATTATATTCAAACCAGAAAATTCAAAACGCTAAGTCTACTAAAGTAATTGTACTGGATGCTATACATGTGTCCCATGAGGAGGACAAAGTCCTGGTCTTGCGGATGTCTGTCCACTCCTACATGAAGATGACAGAAGAAATGTCTACCTAGTCCCAGTGGAGCTCTGAGAGGAACAACCAGATAAGCTGGATGACAGACTTTTAAGATTTTATTTTTAAATTTTTAAAAAGATTTTATTTATTTATTTGAGAGAGAAAGAGAGCATGAGCAGGGGGAGGGGCAGAGGGAGAGGAAGAGAGAAAATCTCAAGCAGACTCTGTGTTGAGCTTGGAGCTCGACATGGGGCTTGAACTCACGACCCCGAGACCATGACCTGAGCCCAAATCAAGAGTCGGTGCTCCACCCACTGAGCCATTCAGGCACCCCTGGATGACAGACTTTTATAGCAAATGTTACCAACAGTTCTGAAAGTCAACAGTCCTAGATATGCCTACGGGAGTACAGATTTGGGACAGGAGTTTCATTTCAAGAGAAAATATAGAGAGGAAAAAAACATTTGGCTACACGAAAAATGGAGGAAGCCCAGAACACTCATACTAAACAGCTACCTAAAAAAAAATGCTGAATTAAGTTCTGAAGCTTTTTTCTTTTGTTTTATTTTTTTTTAGATTTGTTTATTATTTTAGAGAGAAAGAGAATGCAGGTAGGGGTGGGGAGAGGGGCAGAGGGAGAGGGAGAATCTCAAGCAGGTTCCATGCTCAGCATGGAGCCCAATGTGGCACCCCTTGTTTTGTTTTTCATTTAAACAAAGAAATTGGGCTTGGGGTGCCTGGGTGGCTCAGTCCGTTGAGTGACTAAATCTTGGTTTTGGTTCAGGTCATGATCTCAGGGTTGTGGGATTGAGCCCCACGTCAGGCTCTATGCTCAGCAGGAGGTCTGCTTGTCTCTCTCCCTCTGTTCCTCCCCCTGCTTGTGCGCCCAAGTGCTCTCTCTCTCTCTTAAATAAAATTTAAAAAACAAAGAAATTTGGCTTAACTGCAGATTAAGACAATGTGGCAACTCCTTGTGAGAGAGAAAAAAGAACTTGTAGAATTCATCTCTATTCCAGACCAAAAAAAAAAAAAAATCATAAACAAGATTATGATGGCTAAAAATATTCTTGAGATGAACCAAGATCTCTCAACTGCCAGTCTCTTAGGTGGGGAGCCTAGAGTATTTGTTTTGGTAGAGTGTGATTTGATGTTCATATTTGCTTTTTTTTTTTTTTTTAAAGATTTTATTTATTTGTCAGAGAGAGAGTGAGAGAGAGAGAGAGAGCACAAGGTGGGGTGGGGGGAATAGAGGGAGAAGCAGGCTCCCCGCTGAGCAAGGATTCCCCACGGGACTGGAATCCCAGGACCCTGAGATCATGACCTGAGCCAAAGGCAGACGCTTAACCCACCGAGCCACCCAGGCACCCCTCACATTGGCTTTTTCCACACACCAAAATGACCTTCCAGACACTTGAGCAAGGCTTCACTGACCTAAGCTGATGAGAGATGCCCTCAGCCCCGCAGCTGAAGCCGAACAGGGGCCCAGAGAAGCATGTCACCATGGGCCTCCATGCAGTTCCTGACAGGCCTCTCCGGGCTGTGCTGACCTTGGCACTCCATAAGCGCCCATGGCGCTCCCCACAGACCCGGGTAGGGGCTTCATTATGGTTCTCTCTAACCGGTCACTGCGGTGAGTTTTCACCAGGGCTAACTGAACCCTGTACTTCTGGCCGGAAAGCAACACAAACAGTGAGGGACGAGATGTGCGCCCAGTTTTGATGACAGATCTAAAGAATCATGGCTCCAGGGACGCCTGGGTGGCTCAGTCGTTAAGCATCTGCCTTTGGCTCAGGTCATGATCCCAGGGTCCTGGGATCGAGCCCCGCATTGGGCTCCCTGCTCAACGGGAAGCCTGCTTCTCCCTCTCCCACTCCCCCTGCTTGTGTTCCCTCTCTCGCTGTGTCTCTCTCTGTGTCAAATAAATAAAATCTTAAAAAAAAAAAAAAAAAGAATCATGGCTTCGAAGGATCACCACTGGGCTCTGGGGCTGCCTGCAACTTCCGTCCCCTGGCGGTAATGTGAAGAAGGCCTAAGACGGAGCCGCCTTGTGCGCCTGCCGTCCAGCGCCCTCCCAGACCCCTGTGAGCCCATTGCGCTGACCCAGAGCTTCACGCGTGCCGCCGAATTGCGAGCTCTGGAAAGAGGAACACCGCGTTGTACTCGTCATCTACCAGTTCTGGTGTGTAGCAGGCGTTTATTAAGGGTTTACTGAATCCAACTTCTTTAAAAGCTATTTGAGCTCTGTCATAAAATGGCTGCTTTGACCAGCAAGTTGTGGGCTTAGGGAGGGTAAGGAAATGGAAAGGAAGACAGGGATCACTGGTGACCAGTCTGCTTCTCCTTTCTTTTCTTCTTTCTTTCTTTCTTTCCTTCCTTTTTTTAAGATTTTATTTACTTATTTGAGAGAGAGTGCACATGAGCAGGGGGAAGGGCGGAGGGAGAAGCAGGCTCCCCGCTGAGCAGAGACCCCCCCCCCCCCCTTCACAGGAAGGGTGTGAGATGCTGGGCGGGGGGTGGGGGGGGCGCTCTCCCTTTCCGTCTCATCATTAGTGGTCAAAGGAAAAACCACCCAGGTGCCCCTGCTTCTCTTTTCCATCCTCGGTTCTGTTTCCTCTCCATGGAATCACCCAGCCCCTTCTGTGTCCGTTTGCTGTGTATGACCGGGACTTCACCTAACCTAGCCACTCAGTGTTCACCACTGCTTGCTCTACCTTCTTATTCCATGACAAATGAGTGAGGCCAAAAGGCAATCAAAGGCTTTGGAGAAGGAAGGGGGTAATCAGGAGCCGGCAACTGCTGTCTGATCACAGGCTTGTTATGTGGCTGCAGGGCTATGACGTTTGTTAGCTTGGGGAGAAGGGAGGGTTGCAGGACAGTTCACTGAAGAGTAGATCTCCAAACTCTCGGTAATGAATCTGGATCATTGCTTTGGACCAAGTTAGAGATAAAAATGAACAGGAGGTATGCCTGGGGATTCGGGGTGCTTCTAATCTGCCCTCAAAGAAGCGTGTGCATTACCAAGTCCCTTCAGAGCCGTGGGTACTGGGTGGCTCAGTCGGTTAAGCGACTGCCTTCAGCTCAGGTCACGATCCTGGAGTCCCAGGATCGAGTCCCGCATCGGGCTCCCTGCTCGTCAGGGAGTCTGCTTCTCCCTCTGACCCTCCCCCCTCTCATGTGTGCTCTCTCTCTCTCTCTCTCTCTCATTCTCTCTCTCAAATAAATAAAATCTTAAAAAAAAAATAGTTTCCCACTCTTTTCAAGCAGGCAGTCAAATTCTCTTCTAGAGGAAGCCCCAGGAGGCCTGCAGGCTGCAGGGCCACCTGCAGAAACAGCACCCAAGCATGTGGGCAGGAGGCAGCTGTGCGTCCCTGGGCATTTTGTGAGATGCGTGCTCCAGATCCCAGCCTGCAGGGGTTAAGAATATAGGGACCCCTACACCCAAAGCTTCTTTCGTCCCCTTAGACAGCTATCATTTATGAATGTCTCCAAATTCTTCTAGAAACTTTTCTCCTGAATCCATTATCACCGACGAAGGCGGTAAGTTCCAAAACCACCCTCCCAACTTGGCCAAGATGTGCTGCCTTGTTTTGCATTGCAGCCATTCTTCTTAAGTTCCAAAGGGAAAAAAAAAAAACACGTTCAAAATATATCCTCTTACTCAAGCATTTCGTGATTTGGCCAATCTGTTCTCGTTCTAGCTCTGCCTTTCATTAAAGTGTTCAGAGGCAGACTTCCTTACAAGAAAAACAAAGTACATATACAAATACAACCAGCCTCTCGGTGAAAAAGACTGCATCCTTTGCCCTCTTGGAATGGTCCCGGTCATCATGGGGGCCATGTGGGCAGCCAGAACAAGCCTACTGGAAGCAGCTATTTTCATTTTTAGCTACTAGCACTGGCTCGGGAGAAAAGTTTTCATAGCGTAAACATCTGTTATACCCCAGGCAACCCTTCAACTAGTGTTGGAAAACTTTAGTAGGATATTCTCATTTAAATCAGGCATTCATGTTTTATCTTCTTGTAAAAATAACCCTGGCTTAAAAGAAATGTCTCCCTAAGTAGGTTATCTCTTATCTAAAGAGCCTTTAGATAGAACACCAAACAATGCAGAGGCCTAAAAGAACGGTCCCTGACTAGTCTTCCACGAGGTCGGGGGTGACAGGGCAATGAGTGGCAAACTACTAGGGTTGAATCTCGTTCCGAAAAGATGAGTCATAAAAAGACCTGATGACTCGGAATCAAAACATATAGAGCTCCTCTCCACATTTAGACTCCCTGAAAGTTCACACACAATTTTTTTTTTTAATGGTGTAGCTAGTTCACTGGTGAAAGGGGCCGGCTGCCAAGACAGTGCTTCATGAAAGTCAAGTCCTAATCAAAATGCCAAATTTTCTCAATGTGCCGCTCCTCTCTAAGGAGAATACACAACTGCCAGATGACACGGGAGGCAGTTCAAGTTGGCTCAATGATCTTCCAGAAAGGAAAATGCTTGAAAACAAGCAGAGGTCTGCGCAGAAGGTGCTGGAACAGGACAGCGACGTGTCCTCCTATAGACAGCGAGAGAAACAGGGAGCCAAGTGGGGTACGTGGCAGGATTACGGGGTCACACACATCCACACACGCATCCTGAGAATATACGTTCATCGTACACTTCCTGAAAGTCGAATCTGCAATGACTTTGCCACAGTTATGCTGCACTGGGTACAATGCTCGGCGCTCCAGGGCACAGAGAAGAGTCAGACACATTGCAGTCCCACTGTGGGACGGTACCGGAGAGGAAAGAACCAGAGGAGGATAGGTGTTCTGGACGTTCACCCCAAAGTGATGCCCCGGAGGGAGACTGCGAGAATTAGGAAGGGTGTGAGATGCTGGGCGGGGGGTCGGGGGGGCGCTCTCCCTTTCCGTCTCATCATTAGTGGTCAAAGGAAAAACTCAGAAGACTACTGACGAGTCAGAGATACGACCCGGAGAGCACGGATCCAACAAGAAGCTGGGGCGGGCTAAAGCGGAATCACACGCAACCTGGAAGCTCAGAGGGCACTCGCCAAGAGGCTGTTGTCAGTAAGCCTGGACTGCGTGCTGGCCGGCACGTCCTTCCAGTCACCCTGGGGAAAGAATTATTTTCCCATCACCCCCGTTTGTAACTCAGGAAGAAAGTAACTAAGGAACACAGTGACTGACTAACCCTTCCCAGGTTCCAAAGGAGACGAATTTGAATGTGAACTCGAGCCTGTCACTAATACGCTGTGTTTGTTACTATTCTGAGCTGATTTTTAGGATACAGACTGGTTAGTAAAAAAGAAAGGAACTTTAAACATGCATAAGGTGGGGTTTTTTTTGGATTTGAGAGAAATCATAAGTATATCGGGGAATGTTCTGCTGATACCTATTCAGCCCTACCGCAAAACCTATGCAGACCAATACTGACGGCTCAGAAATCCTTCCCCAAAGGCAGTTAATGTTGTTCTCACTCTACCCACCTTGACCTTCTGATATTTATAAATGTAAGAGATTTGTAGTCTCTCCCACCTTTGAACCTAATATTTCCAATATATTATTAAAAAATGTCCATGATAAAAAGGTCTTTTTAAGATTGTATTTATTTATTTGAGAGGGAGCACGAGCAGAGGGAGGGGCAGAGGGAGAGAGAGAAGCAGACTCCCCGCCGAGCAGGGAGCCCAACTCGGGACTCGATCCCAGGACTCTGAGATCATGACCTGAGCAGAAGGTGGCCACTTAACCGACTGAGCCACCCAGGCACCCCTTTGATTAAAAGTTTTAAAATAAGTCACTTCTCTTTCTGACTCTGGAACTGATACTTAATAGACCTCCCTTCAAACAAGAGCTTTTGTCCCTGGAGATGAATTCTTGTGTATGACATCCGACAAAGCGTCGACATGATGCATATTCTCCATATCTGCCAGATGACAGACATTAATGTCCCATCTGCCTAGACATACATTCTATGCAAAATTCTATTTTCTATGGCAGCGTCTTGTAAACTCCCCGAGTTCACTTTACAGACTTACTTCTTCCAGGAAAGATACCTTGTGGATATTCTGGTGGCTGTGATCCCCTCTACAAGCCTCCTTTTCCATTTCCCCTAAACCTTCGTGATGGTCAGTATGATGCACCCCCTCCAGATCACCGGCTGGTGAAGGACCTGTTCCCCCACCTTTTGGCAGTGTTGCTGGGAGGTGGCCCGAAGCTGTTAGTCCTCTTCGGGGATTGTCTTGAGCTGAAAGAAATCCTCTTGTCAAGGTCACACATCCTTCCAGGGGTGTCCTGCATCCAGTGGCTGATCACCAAGTGGGTACTAAGGCTCCAAGCTCAACCCGATGTGGGACAACTGAAGGACCGTCCCAGCTCCCAGCTTCCTGGGGAAGAGCTTCTCCCCGACCCCTGCTGCTTCCTCTTCCTTCCAGGTGCTGATCCCAGGAGCACCCCTAAGAAGCCCCTTGCACTCTGTCATCCTAACCTGCATCATCTCAGAATCTGCCACCTGGGGAGCACATCTGCAATAGCCCCTCGTGTCATGCTGGGCCACAGTCACTAGAATGTCAGCGCCTCTGCAGTGTCCCTGACTCCCAGAACAAGGGATCGAGCAAATGTATAAATCACACACACCAAAGAGACAGAAGGTGGTGGGGAGCACAGTGGATTCTGCTCCTCACTGGACAAATTCGTAGAGATCCGTCAAGTCCTATTTGTCTCTGGAGCGTGGAGTTTGAGCCACACTTGAGATTTGGTGGAAGTAGGCATTAACTGGCTGGAATGAAGAATGGACCCTATGTGACTAGAACAGACATTCAAAAACAGCAAATTTCCTTCCCCCACCTCAAAGCCACTTGGCATGCTTGGGATTGTGGTCTCTCCCAGCGGAAGACAGAGAGAAGGAGTTATTTATTTATTTATTTATTAAGATTTTATTTATTAATTTGACAGAGAGATATAGCGAGAGCAGGAACACAAGCAGGGGTAGTGGGAGAGGGAGAAGCAGGCTTCCCACTGAGCAGGGAGCCCGATGTGGGGCTCGATCCCAGGACCCTGGGATCATGACCTGAGCCGAAGGCAGCCGCTTAACCAACTGAGCCACCCAGGCACCCGAAAGGATTTTTTTTTTTAAGATTTTATTTATTTATTTATTTGATGGAGAGAGACACAGTGAGAGAGGGAACACAAGCAGGGGGAGTGGGAGAGGGAGAAGCAGGCTTCCCGCCGAGCAGGGAGCCCGATGCGGGGCTCGATCCCAGGACCCTGGGATCATGACCTGAGCCGAAGGCAGACGCTTAACGACTGAGCCACCCAGGCGCCCCGAGAAGGGGTTATTTTATCCTGCATCAATAGGGGCCATGCTGCGAAGCAGGCTAAGAGACTTGCCTCCAGTTCAACAAGAAAATAATTCAAATACCCTGACTGCTCACATGCTACGCCCATTTCCTTAGATAGCGCGGTGCCTGAGAACACTCTCCGTTGTATTCCATCACCCCTGGCACGGGTGGTCTCGTTGACTACAGGACCTAAGTCACCACCCCAAGTTTTAGAAACACCGCCTACATCGAGTGGGCTGCTTCCTAACTCATACTCTGGAGCACATACTCTGCTAATTGCTGGCAAGCTCATCGGTCTTTTCTACATAGTCTTTTAATATGTCCTTTGTATATACTTAAATTTAAAAAGCAGGCCCAAATTCCCCATTATTAAGGATTTTTACATTCCCAGATATTCAGGGAGTAATTTGTAATATATGTTTCTCTTGGCGAATCAAGTAAGATAGTATTTATTTCATATTACCATGATGATTTAAGAAAAGATGCAAAGGGGCGCCTGGGTGGCTCAGCCGTTAAGCATCTGCCTTCGGCTCAGGTCATGATCCCAGGGTCCTGGGATCGAGCCCCGCATCGGGCTCCCCGCTCGGCGGGAAGCCTGCCTCTCCACCCCTCCACTCCCCCTGCCTGTGCTCCTCTCTCACTGTGTCTCTCTCTGTCAAATAAATAAAATCTTAAAAAAAATAGGGCGCCTGGGTGGCTCAGCCGTTAAGCGTCTGCCTTCGGCTCAGGTCATGATCCCAGGGTCCTGGGATCAAGCCCCGCATCAGGCTCTCTGCTCAGCGGGAGGCCTGCTTCTCCCTCTCCCACTCCCCCTGCTTGTTTCTGCTCTCACTAACTCTCTCTCTCTGTCAAATAAATAAAAATCTTAAAAAAAAAAAAAAAAGAAAGAAAAGATGCAAAGTAGGAGTCTACAAAGCTCTATCATTACTATTAACTGCTCTCTATGCCATATATACTTGTCTTATATTCAGCACAATTGGGGTTAATTTTAGGATTCAGTATGTCTGAAGGAAATTCTGCCCCCATTCCAAGGGACTGAGATGAACAACGGAGACCGTTCTCAGTGGTTCTAATGCTATCTCCCTCCTGTCCTTCCCTCTGCGAATATAAAGCGTCTCTCTCCTGAAAGATGAGTATCTTGACGGGTAAGGGGTGCAGAAGGATCACCTTTAAAGCTAAAGACCCTTTTTGTAAATGTTGCCAAAGCTTTTTGATGCTGTATAAGGGCCTGGATGCTGAGAGAAAGAGATACAAAAGCACTTATATTTGCAAAGGAGGTAAAAATCTGTTTCAAAGTGAATTTGTTTTTGCCTGTGAGATGCTTCTCTCCTTTCAACACCCCCCCCAGCTTTTTAAAAATATTTTTATTTATTTATTTGAGAGAGAGACAGAGATACAAGAGAGAAATCGGGGAGGAGAGGGAGAAGCAGGCTCCTCGCTGAGCAGGGAGCTCGACCCCGGGGCTCAATCCCAGGACCCTGAGATCATGACCTGAGCTGAAGGCAGACGCTTAACCGACTGAGCCACCCCGGTGCCCCTCAACCCCTTTTATAAAAAAACCAAAATGATTTATTTACTTATTTAGAAAGAGAGAGAGCATGGGCAGGGGGGAGGGGCAGAGGGAAGGGGAAAGAGAATCTGGGGCAGACTCTGCACTGAGCATGGAGCCTGATGCTGGGCTCGATCTCATGACCCTGAGATCTTGACCTGAGTCGAAACCAAGAGTCTGATGCTCAAATCGACTGAGCCACCCAGGTGCCCCTCCTTTCAGCCCTTTGAGCTGAAAGGCAGCGGGCCCTTGCTGGGCGGGTTTCGGCCTTTGGGCACAGTCCTCTCGGGGTCTCAGCAGCCGGGTTACCAGCCACAGCGTGAGAGGTGCTTCACTGCTGAGCGGAACACTCTGCATCCGTGCAAATCTTAAGATGATTACAAATGAAATGCCACTTCACAAAGTAAGTATGCGGAGACGTCGAGCTCGTGAACCCAGGAGGGTAAGATATTCCTCAAAGGGGAGGCGGTTGGCACAAAACCAGGCAGCTGGAGCTTTAAAGAAAACAGTCACTCACCAAAGTCAAACTCCTAGAGCGGGAGCTGCTGCTTCGGCTGTCCAAGCTGCCCCCTCTGCTCAGGTCACTGAGCCCGCAGCTGGGGGACACATCTGAGTCCATCTCCGACGAGTCTGACTGCTGGCGGTTCACAGGCATTCCCGGAGACACGGTGGCTGCTGGCCCGGTCACAGGAGGTGGGGAAGGGGCCAGGGTCCCATTCTCAAGGAGCAACTGCCTCTGGAGAAACCAAGCACAGGGGGACAGGGTTAATGCCTTATCCCCTAAAACGGAAGGCTCGGCCTGGGTCAGAGTCATCTCAATTTGCAGCCTCGACCATCAAGACGGAATTAGGAGCCCCTAAGTCAACGTGTTTGTTCATTTTCATTTCTCCTTTATATCCCTTTCCATCATGAAGATGTGAATCATTTTTTTAAAGATTTTATTTATTTATGAGAGAGAGAATGAGAGAGAGAGAGAGCATATGAGAGGGGGGAGGGTCAGAGGGAGAAGCAGACTCCCCGCCGAGCAGGGAGCCCGATGCGGGACTCGATCCGGGGACTCCAGGATCATGACCTGAGCCGAAGGCAGTGGCTTAACCAACTGAGCCACCCAGGTGCCCGATGTGAATCATTTTTAAGGAAAAGATGAGCAGACTAACAATTACTTTGTTGCTGAAAACCTGATAGGATAATGGTCTGGCTCCCTCCTTTGCACCGAGGACCTGTACTCTCCTGCTCTTTCCCACGTGGATTCAGGTTTTCCCTGTGTTCTTTATTGATTCTAGTCTCTTCTATCTCAGACACCACAAAATTATGGCTCCTTTTCCAGCTTCACTGCAGTTCAGAGTTGAGTGAAGGGACAAGAGCTGGTAAATTTAGCGAATGAGTCTGCTTGACATCTGAGATTCTAGGTTCTCTGGAGGCTGAGATGCTCTTGCAATTTCTACAGAAGATATTAAGGTACCATAAGTTACTACTACAAGGAAGTTCATATTTTTACTTTCAGGAACAAAGACAGCAAAATTTCCCCTACCAGCCCCTTGGTTTCATACTCTGACTCTTTTAGCAGGAAATTCAGCTCAGTCTCTGAACAATGGACAATGGAATTCAACAAAACCTTCTAGAAGACCAAACAAGATTAATAGGGAATAAGGGAATAAGCCTCTTGTGGAGGCTTAGGGCAAGTGGAGAGATACAAGCCCACGTCATTCATTCCTAAACTGAAAATACTGCCAGGTGGCTTTCTGAGCACCTTTAAGAATACTGAGGGGCATGTGAGCTCAGATAACCAGGGGCACAACTGT